ACAAGTAGTTATGTTTAGCTTAAGAATCTGATTAGTATAATGAATTAGAGAAATATAGTTGAAATATACAATAATAGCTTTATGGGAAACACAGTTGTGAAAGGCTTAATAAATATTGAAGGAAATTTAGATAAAGATTAGTTAGATTTGGAAGAGTACAATGTTCTAATCCATAGTAATAGGTTCAGATAGAATTTTGCTTATTTTGGATCAATTGCTCTTGTAATTAGAAGATATAATCCTACCTTTCAAACTTTTAATGAGACTAGTATGGATTATTTGCCCTGTGGAGGTGTAATTATCTCATCAAATTATTTCACCGAAAATTTTGGTTGTCCATTGTTTGGTGGAGGTTTGATTAAATTATCTTGTTAGCTCGGATTATAGCTTGATCAATTCGATAATTCGAAGCCAATAGATGCTGCTGGAATGTTTTAAACTTTCTAAATATAGGCAATCAAGGATAAGAATATTATACTTAATGATTTAACTCCAGATAAGAATAAGTATGAACTTAGTAATAATTATTATTTCAAGAATTTCAATGCTTTTAACGAAGCTCTTGTTGATTTGAGAGGAATTATGTGGGCTCATATAATAAATGAAACTTTTATACAAAACGGTGAAAATGTTGCTGAGTCTCTGCTTTTGTTTTAAAATTATACAACATCTGAAAATATTTAGGTTTAACTATTCGATCATGATTTCACCTAAATCGAAGAAAGGATGAATATCACTAATTACAATATGTCATCACTCAATCCTGACTATGATCCAAACTCATATGAGTACCTAGATAGTATAAGTATGAAAGAAGCAAGCAGAAATTCAACAAATTAATAAACTGAGGGATATATTACGACTACCAGAGTATTATAGGCTAATACCAGACAAAGCTATTATTATTTGAAGTACAATGACGATAAACAAAGTCTAGGTTTGATATACATTAGATAATGCCTTTATTTGTACATAAAAGATGTGGAAGTTAAGGATAATTTCGTTTATGAATATTAGCTTAACAGTACAAAAGGATCGTTTATTACTATAAAGAGATTTTTTGGATCGATTGATATGAAAAATATACATGTACACAACTATAAAGGTTTTATGAAGTTTGCAAGGGATGATTTGGGTATATAGTTTAGTGAAGAAAGTCCTAAAGTAGTGTTTGCAATGACTAATCCCATTATAGGAATAGATACTTAATCAGATTTGATAGATGTATCACTGGAGAATATTTTCGTTGAAGATGTCAAATTTGGTTTATAGTAAGAATAATCAGCTATTGGATTTATCTTCTCTACAAAGTATGTTTGAGATTAATTTATTGTTTAGTGGAGATACAGTGGATCACTTGAAAATTTAGAATTTAACATTGAACAATATTGATTGCAACTGCAGTAAAAATCACTCTCTATTTTAACTTTAAACTATTTATGCCAAGCTGGTTGACATCAATGTATCAAATATAAATACTAACTATAATCTGATGAATTCAGCTGCTGAATTTGGATCATAAGTGTTCCAGATTATTTTGAAAAATAAAACTTTTGACCAGGATATTTTGAGTAACGGATATTTTTAGAGTATTTAAGGCAATTATGGTTCTGTTTTCAATATTTCATTTAGTGATGCTAATTTTCCATTAAAATCTTAATATAATAATAACTACACGCCAATTATTACTATGCGAGATTCAACCTTTTTTAATATTACAACAAATCATGGTGGTGCAATAAACATATTTTAAGGATTTTAAGGTAGGTTCATAATTGATAATTGCACATTTAATCAAACTAAGACCCAATATAAAGGTGGTGCTTTATCCCTAAATCCTGAAACTACTACTTCGCAAGATGATTTAGATGGAAAAATGGCAATAAAATACCTAGCAATATTTAACTGTGATTTTATCGACAACTATTAATCTACCGATAATGGAAAATTGACAGAACTGATTCTGCTTATTGAAAATTCAAGTTAATTTGGAGATTCATCTATACCTTATTTTAATAGAGTTGGATATATCCTATATTTAAACTAAGCCTTTTACATCTAAATTGATATAAGAGGATGCCAAATTCTTTAAGAAGAAAGAAATCTTCCAAAAGAATATGTAGCTGATACAAAATTCGTTAATGATTTATTAGCAATTTGGTCTAGAAATCAAAACATTGACACAAACTTTGGATCTGCTTTTTTCATTTAGTTGAATCTCTAATAAGTTGATTTGAAAGTCATAGATAGTAATTTTGAGGGATGCAGATTTGGATATTTAGGAGGTGTATTCCATTTGGAGGGAATGAACAATAATTTTACAATTAACAATTCAACATTTCTTAATAACTTAGGTTGGTATGGAGGAATAGCATACTGTTCAAACTGTTAAGCTATTGTATTTTACAAGACAAATATTTCTGAAACTTAAGCATACCAAGGAGGAGTCTTGTTCACAGAAATAGATAAACCAATTATAAAGCTTTAAATAAATTACATCGAAAGCATTATGCGTGACATTATGAGTTGTTCTGAGGGTGGTGTAAATTACATAATCACAAATTCATATACTTCTTTAGAAATAACCCTCCAAGAATCAAGATTCGAAAAAGTAAATGCATCATTATATGATGACTCTTCTACTTAAAAAATAACTAAAACTTCATCTGATTAAGCAAGCTTTCAGGGTGGAGCAGGGTTTTTCATAGTTGGTGGAGTTATGAGGTTTAAAATTATAAGCAGTTTTATTTTGAATTTGCAATGCAATGGTGAAGGGGGTTTTATTTTTGCAGAGGCTTCTAAAAGTATAAATCTAGAAATAAGGAATTGTACCATTTCTAATGTTAGTTCTGAATAAGCAGGATCAATAGTTAGATCTAAATCTACAAGTTTAGGAATTTCAGCTAATCTTTCAGATAATACTATTAGGTGTGTCTTAGATGGTGATGCAAATCAGTATAAGTAATATTTATTTGTAGAGAAACGAGTAATAACATCACCACTCCATGCATTTATATTTAAATCAGTATTGAATACTACAATTGTATCAAAAAGAAACAAAATTAGCGATTGCTATACTGAATTTGTAACAAATTATGAGGAAGATTATACTTACCTAACCAGTGGGGGAGTATATTACCTCGATTCAACAACAGGACTATTGACATTCAATGACACATAAAGTATTTACTCAAGCAACTCAGCGTTTTAAGGAGCAATTTACTAATGCGAATCCTGCACATTGAATCTTGATTCGAATATATATAATGAGAATTTTTGCTACTATGGTTGTGTAGTTTATACAGGAGGTGATTATGGGAGAATATAAATTTAAAATTGCTCCTTTACAGATAATCATGCATTGATATAAGGAGGTGATATTTATTAGTTCGCTCTTGAGTTCTCCACATCTATGAACATGATTATTTAAAATTCAAGATTTCAAATGAATTTAACAAAGTATTGGATGCAGGTTGAAAAAAGATTTGTAGAAAATGAGATCGGTTCTATGATGATAAGCGTTGTTCAAACTAATTCATTTACCTTTGTTAATTCAACAGTGAAATTTATTAATACTTATTCATCCAACTTTCTCTAGATTTAGAACATATATATGCTTTTGTACTTATCTAATCTTAATTTTGTTGCATTCGGAAATAATACTGTTGATGGAGATGTAAAGTTGAGCAAATAATTAGTTTAATCACTTTTGAGTTTAGATAAACTAACATTTAATTTTGAAGGAATTGTTATGATCAGAGAAGCAAAGTCTGTAATTTTAAGAAATAATTCTTTTAGAAGTATTTGTTTAAATAACTTAGGGGCTGTTGGTATTTATAAATCAAATAATTTTACAGCTTATAACTCAATATTCGAAGATATTACAGCCCTAAATGGACCTGCAATGGTCCTCTAATATGCTAATTCTACAATCTAAAATATGACATTCAATAATAACAATGCTTAGTATGGAGGTGCAATATAGATTTTAGATGAGTCTATTATTACAATTAGCTTGTCAAATTTTAGTAAAAATTATGCATTTTAAGAAGGAGGTGCATTACTGATTAAGAGATTAAATCCTGCTTTTAACTATGAAACTAATGTTTCCATTGAATATTCCATTTTTTAAGGAAACTACGCAACAAAAGAAGGTGGAGTATTTAAAGTTGATGATAAGTATTTAAACTTAGTAATAAACTAAGGATATTTTTAAAACAATTAAGCAAGTTAAGTTGAACTAATCGGCTCTGGAGGTACATTTTATGGTTC